TTCCCCCGTAACCAAGTGTGTGTCTGCGTGTCTGCAGCTTCGATCCCTTCATCAAACGCTGGGGGCCGACGGGACATTGAGTCCGCTGAGTCTCTACACCTCGCCGTCTCTTCCCAATATCTCGTTAGGCCTCCCTGCCAACACGCACCTCACGGTAGGCAAAAAGACACGCGCCATCACAGACGTAGACGGCACAGTCGGACTCATTTTTGGTTTGTCGTGAAAGAATGTTAACATTTCACGCAGCCCGCTGTCACCTTTCGGTATCACGTTTCCACAGGGCGCGCGACGCAGTTTGGTGGTCATTGGATTGCTCCCGGACAAAATTTTTTGGACCCAAATTTTAGGCCTCTCGAGCACATTTGGCCGCGTAGCGTCTTCTTTTGCTTCCGTTCCCCCGAAAATGTGGTGCGGCTTTTCTGAACCCGCCACATGAATCAATGAAGATATATTGTACGGCGGAGCTCTCTATCGAGCCTGCTGTTTGTCTCTGTAATTCAGCGAGATGGTTTCATGAAGTGAATTGCCACAGGTCGTCGGCTTTCTTCTCTGTACTTGTCCATCAAGACCCTCGAGGCAAATCATGCCTTTGGCGTACTTTTTGGTCGGCATGAAGCCACGCACTTATTGGCTTCTGCCCCGAGTCACGCGAGCCCATCACTCTTTCTCTGTGCCAAGGACACGAATGATGTCAACTAATTTGCTTGTTGAACGCATGATCACACTTGACAGGCCTCGCAGAAGTTGTCAAGCCAACAGGAGGCGGAGCGTCAAGCCATTCAGTCACTCCGGGCAGGTGGCGCTCTAACCGGGAAGTTTCTCTCCACATCCTCCCTGCCCGCAGGTGCGCATTCACGCCTCAACCATTCTATTAATGCCATTCTAACTGCTCCTCGATGACATGCGTCGCTATTCTGAGGTTTGGGTCAGTGAAAGCGGAAAAAAAAATGCTCCACGTGTCCTTAGTTCAGTCCAGTCTGCCGAAAAAAAAAAAAGCCAAAACTTTTTAATCACGCATGGTTGGTCACTGTGCCGCCATCGTGAAAATAACGGAGCTTCTTTCGGCTCCCGACAGCATTAGGCGGGCGGCGAGCGCAGGTGAACACGAGAGCCGAAGCAGGTTCAGTGGCCGCCATTGCTCTTTCTGTCCTGTCATCCATCGTGTTGTCGTCTTTGAGCAGTAAAGCTCCTCATTCAAGGATGGGCAACGTAGCCGAGGAGTCGTATTGTTGAGTGTTCAAATAGAAATAAATCTTGGTTTCTAGCTTATTCTTATTTTATTCTTCTGTATTTATTTGATCTTTTTTTTTTTTTTTGCAGGGGTAGGGCATGATGTGGACACTCAACCTCCGAGCTCCCATTCTGCTCATTCTTCATTATTACAACACGTGCTACTCCTGGAGCAGGCCAGACAGCAAAGCGCAATGCTGGCCGGTACGCACGCGCGCCGCGTTCCCTGCGCAGTTGCAATCCAGCTAAAATGATTGACTGACTGATTGATTGATTGATTGATTTCCAATTTTGTTGAAGGCGTAACTTGAGCATTTTTGCACTCTGACCTTCCGCTCTCTTCAGTTCCCATGTACAGCCAGTCGCCGCTGGTTACCGCGGAGAGAGGCGTCTCCGGCGGCATGCGATCCGTCAACAAGTTGCCTCGCCATCGGCCTCTCGCTCGTACCCAGAGCGCTCCTTTGCCCCAGTCGCCGCAGGCCCTCCAGCAGCTCGTAGTTCAGCAGCAGCATCAGCACTTTCTGGAGAAACATTACAAGGTAAACTAAACGCATCGACGAGTGCGCTCCGATGTGCCCTAACATCATGGCCTTTTTTTTGCGTAGATGCTTTCAAAGGGTTCAGACCTACCCAGACCACCTCCCACTCATCCAGAGGAGACCGAAGAGGAGCTGACAGAGACCAACGACATGCAGGAGGACGACATGCACAGGTGATCGCCAAGCCGAGGGCTCGGTTCTCATCGCAGCGTAGCTTTTCAACATCTGGTGTGCGTATTGGCAAGCATGTTCAGTTTGAAACCGCCTTTTGGAGCAGGGCTCAGAGCGAGGCGTCGGACGACACCGCCATCCCCTGCGAAAGGCGCGGTTTCCATCCAAAGGAGGAAGAACGAGGAGTTGTACACGTCAAAGGGGAGAGCACAGAAAGTGAACTGGACGAAGAGGATGAGGAAGATGACGTCATCCAGCTGGGGGATAGCGAGGAAGACGCCAGGGGTAGCTACTCTCAGGTTTGTGTCATTTTTTTTTTATTTAGATGAGTCACACCAAGTTGCACTTATTACCGTCGCGCTCCATATGAAATATGCCAGTTGCCATTTTGGCACTCCCATATCGAGCCATCCCTCGTTTTTCGCGGTTAATCGCTACCAGAACCCCACCCCGGGAATTGAAAAACAGCAAAGTGGGATTTGGACCCCCCCTCCCCCCCTCGGAATTTAGGTGTTTGAGTATCTGGAGAAAATCTCCGCAAGCACAAGGGAGAACATGCGACTCCGCTCGGGAGGGCCTGAACCGCACACGCAGTCACTTGTGTCGTATAAACGCATGTCATTGGAAGGACAAACAAAAGACAGAGTCTGGCCTGTGCTGGTGAAACCACACACACAGACACACACACACACACACACACACACACACACGCACGCACGCACGCACTTTATTTGACGCTATATTGACATCACCAGCTGGTGACTCAACCACTGGATTCATTGCGTGCGCATGTGCATGTGTGTGTGTGTGTGTGTGTGTGTGTGTGTGTTCTCAAATCTCTTGGAGTGTGTTTTTGTGTCCACCCACACGTGATGACTCACCCAGTTCAGAGCAGGGATCGCAGCAATATTCCCTATAGATAGTTTGTATAGAACTCTTCACACTCACACACACGCATTCACTGAACGATACTGGCTACGTAAAAATTGTATGAAAAACTAAAGACGATCACGTGAACGTCAAACTGTGTGCGTAGCATCCGTTGACTTGAGCTCCTTTCTTGCCACGGCAAGCGAATTGATCCGGCGCTGCCCTTTTCTTGCCGTCAGTCCTTGCAGCAGATGGGTGTGTTCTCCTCCTCGTTGCCTCACAGACCTCTGGGAAGAGCGCAGTCTTCTCCCGCAGCCACCGTCAACCCCGTCAGACATCTCTTCACGACAGGTGAGCGCGCGAAACCAAGAACCAGCCGGCACAGGAAACGGGCAAAACATCGCCGTCAAACGTCAGACGCTGTTTCGATGCGTCGACAGAACAAGTTCACGCGTTCCTTCCAACTTGCACGTGCGGTCGCCCATCCGTACTTTGGACTCTTTCCCACGCGTATTCATGTTGGATGCGAATGTTCACCGTACGCATCCAATTTCGACAACTCGCACTTCCCGATGCGTTTAAGGCCAAGTGACGCAGAGGCCGAGTGGTTGCCGGCCACTCGCAGGGTCCTCGCAGACAAATAACCTTTCCCGCTCACACTCACACCTGGGGACAAATTCTAGTCTTTATTTCCGTATTGATTCGACCTCTCGATTCCATCGGCGTGATTCACGTCACCGCATTTCCGTTGCTTTCTTGTTGTCTTTCGCTTCCTGCAGGACTCGTGTATGACAGTCTGATGTTAAAGCACCAATGCGTGTGCGGCAACGCTCATATCCACCCGGAGCACGCTGGGAGAGTGCAGAGCATCTGGTCCAGGCTGCAGGAGACAGGCTTGCTGGGCCGCTGTGAGGTAGGCGCGCACACTCGCACCTCAAAGAAGTCAAGAGTAAGTGCGCAGAAAACCTTCTCAGTCACTCTCTGTTTGTGTCTGAGCAGAGAATTCGTGGGCGTAAAGCTTCCCTGGATGAGATCCAGACGGTCCATTCCGAGTTTCACACGCTGCTCTATGGAACCAGTCCACTGAATCGACACAAACTGGACCACAAGAAGCTACTGGGTACAAAAGGATTGGCTTTGAAGGGTGCTGCCTGGAGATACCAGTTTCATTTGTTCCCTGACCACATTCAAAACTCTCGAAATGGAATCGAAAATGCCAAGAGTGCATTCCGGCATTTGGCAATGGCTTTGGTCATGAAAACATAACATTGTATTTTATTAAAAAAAAAAAAAAAAAAAAATTAAAAAAAAAATCGCAAATGTGAAGGATAAGCATTTTTGTTGTGCTTGGATTCAACTGGCATGATGCTGCTCCTTCTGGAGGCCGTGCTCTTGCCACCTGAGTGCCCTGACATAGAAACGCACGCCAAAGAACCGGCTCTTTTTTTTTTTTTTTTTTTTTTTTTTTTCTATCCTACCAAATTTTGGATGAGAGCACATTGGACCAATACTTAGCTAGCAAAGTGTAGCTGACGTCAAGGGGGGTGGGGGGAGAAAAGAAAAAAAGAAAGGAAAAATTAACAATCAGGATACTAATTGCAATATTAAAAAAAAAATCGCAAATGTGAAGGATAAGCATTTTTGTTGTGCTTGGATTCAACTGGCATGATGCTGCTCCTTCTGGAGGCCGTGCTCTTGCCACCTGAGTGCCCTGACATAGAAACGCACGCCAAAGAACCGGCTCTTTTTTTTTTTTTTTTTTTTTTTTGCTCGGGATAAAGAATACATGCCTGCGATTCTCATTACATTGTTTGTCTACATGTGTTGCGCCGCAGATTGTGCACAAATGTCAGTCGTCAAAGGGTTGTAACTCGAGCCGGGCGCTTGACTATTGTATGTGATTGTTTTCATGGCCCAATTTGTCATTCTCTTTGTTTTGCGTTGAGTTTGATGACAGGTCAAAGCAAAAGCTCATATCTTGGCCAGACTCTCAAGTCTTGGCAACGCTCGTATCTCAAGGCATCGCTGTCTTTTTCTTTGGTGTTGACCGCAGCGGCTGAGTTGGCCTCTCTGTCCTCTCATGTGTGCCGCTCGCTACCTGTGGTTTCAGGTCCAATCAGTCAGAAGATGTACGCCGTTCTTCCGTGCGGAGGAATAGGGGTGACTTTTCTTTCCTTTTCAAGACCTTTCCTTAGTCATCATCGTACGTCGTCGCCGTTTTCAGAACTGGAGTGCTTTCACTGCTCCCTGCAGGTGGACAGTGACACCGTGTGGAATGAGATGCACTCGTCCGCAGCCGTCCGCATGGCGGTGGGCTCCGTGATCGAGCTGGCCTTCAGAGTGGCAGCGGGGGAACTCAAGGTAACGCACGCACACGCACCGACGTATATGTCCATACAGTATCCTCAAAAGGCCGTGACCTTTTTCTTCAGGCCAATCCTTGACTTGTCTTTTTCGGTCTCTGTACTAGAATGGCTTTGCAGTAGTGCGTCCACCAGGACATCACGCCGAGGAATCCACTGCCATGTTCGTACATGCGTCTGATTTTCAAATGCTGCAACCATTGCACAAAGTTGGTCTTCTCTGAGGGCAATTAGGAATCTGTCTTGTCCTTCTCTTCACGCGTGTGTGTGAGCAGGGGGTTTTGTTTCTTCAATTCAGTCGCCATCACTGGCAAGCTACTCCAGCAGAAACTGGGAGTGGGCAAGATCCTCATCGTGGACTGGGTTAGTGAGCTCGCGCATGCATTTCAGTTGTTGCCACCGCAGCTATACCGATCGAACAGTGTGTGGCGCTGTTGCTCACCATAAACCCCAAAAAGCTTTTTGGCTTTTCTTGTGCTGTTTACGGCGCGTGGCTTGACACATGAGTTCGGACCCTCAGTCTCCAACCAGTTTCTTACCATGTATTCATTTTTTTAGTGATACAACAAGAGCCCGTTTAACCATCCAAATAAATTCTCAGCCACCACACCGGTTGATTCCTAACGACGCTCTCCCTCGGATACCTCTGCAACCTGTCGCTGCAGGACATTCACCATGGCAACGGCACACAGCAGGCCTTCTACGGCGACCCCAACGTCCTCTACATCTCCCTCCATCGCTATGATGACGGCAACTTTTTTCCCGGCAGCGGAGCTCCCGAGGAGGTAAGCGCATACAAGCGTGGATTCCCCAACTCTCATGCCCTCATTCTCTGTGCTCGGTATGTAATCATGGAAAGGAGGCTCAGTGTAAAGGATGACAAGAAATGAAGGCCGCTATGTTCCCGAGCCGACGACTCGATCAATCTCTCCTTTCCACAGGTGGGATCGGGTGCGGGTGTTGGCTTTAATGTCAACATAGCCTGGACGGGAGGAGTCGAGCCCCCCATGGGCGATGTTGAGTACCTCACTGCCTTCAGGTAAACACCATCCACTGCCGGAAATACATTTCTTGTAATTACAGTGATCCCTCGACACTTTGCGCTTCAGTGTTTTGTGGGTCCCCCCCCCCCAAAAAAAAAAAAGACAAAAAACTGTTTAAAAATCCAGCCACATCGACAGCCATATTGCGGAAAGACGCGTTGTTTCATTTTGATGCGCGAGAGAGAAGGTTTCCCCGCATACCGAACAAAGAGCTGACGTGACTCGGAGGCTTTGTGCGTGGCCCCTCAAAGAAAGCGTTGCCCGATCGGTACTTGTGATGTTCCTTGCTTGCAATAACATCACTGATCAGAGAGACGACGACATCGTGGACAGCGGCTCTTCCATCCAGTTTACTCCCGCACGGATGTATCGACGTAACTGGTCTGTTATCGACCGCCTGTAGTATCAGACTGCCACCAACAGAGGGCGCTAACAGCCTTGAAATTCCGGTTCACTTTTAACTGGATGCAAACTTTACATTCACATACAAACATGGAAATTCCTTTGGGTTTTTGTTTTTTTTTTTCACTTTTCACGTGGGGGCTCCGGTACCAATTAACAACGAAAAACGAGGGATTACTGTACATGGCACACATTTGAACACTCAGGTGTGTCACTGTCGCACATAAGCAATCGATAATATTTGTAGTCTCCCGTTAGTGTTGACTTGTAAATGAATCCGCAGGCTGCTGAATGTACTCTCTCAATAAAAAATGTACACTCCAAAATAATTGTAAGTCATAGTTTTCAAGCTTGTTACTTGATGATGTCGTCTGGTGTTGGGATGCCTCTGCGCATGTTGTGTGCAGGAGCGTGGTGATGCCGATCGCTCAGCAGTTCAGCCCGGACGTGATCCTGGTGTCCGCAGGCTTTGATGCGGTGGAGGGTCATCAGTCTCCCCTCGGAGGTTACATTGTTTCTGCCAAGTGTGAGTTCCAAACTGGTTACCGGTCTCCTTCCAGTTGTCCCCCTCCCAAAAAAAAGTCTGTCAGCAGACCGATGTAAAAAGTGATTTGACGTGCTGTATCTCGCATGGTTTGAGCGGCTGCTGCCCCGTTTTGGCAGGTTTTGGTCTGCTGACCCAGCTCTTGATGGGTCTGGCTGGTGGGCGTGTTGTCATGGCGCTCGAGGGAGGTCATGACCTGACTGCCATCTGCGACGCATCAGAAGCCTGCGTCTCTGCGCTCCTCGGAGACCCGGTAGGAGAGTCTGCCTATCTTAGAGCGCTCCAAACGCCGCTTGATTGCACACCGGCTTATAGCAAGCGAGCATTTGATCTCTGCTTTTGACATGACAATTCCGCATTAGCCTTCTTTAGCCGTGTGTCGGTGTTGCCACTCGGCGCTTCGTTCCCGCTCATTTAAGACAGCCCGAGCCTAATAAGGGCCGACTGTATTTTCACGGTATGCGCTACAAGTGTAAACTAAGTGAAGTATTTCAGGCCGGCGCAGTCTGTCCCGAGTCGTTGCGTGTGATGTGTGCGTAGGGGCGGTACCCTTCAACCGCTTCCCAGCCAATCGCACGACACCGCTTTCCACTTTTACGTGTAAACAACTAGATCTCTCATTGTTGGTCCTTTCCCTTCCGCTTTTCCGTTCTCTGCCACTTTGACATGGCATCGACATTGTGTTCAGATAAATCCCATTCATGGTGAGCGACAAGCAAATATCAACCTAACGAACCCTCTGCGTGTCCTTGGCAGAGTGACTCTGCATTTGAGTGGCCTCAAGAGAAGCCGTGTCCGAAAGCCCGTGCCTCCCTCGAAAGAGTGCTCGAAATCCAGAGTGAGTCAGCACGCGCGCATGCGCACGCACACACACACTCAAGATTCAACAGGCTGCATGTCTTCCCCTCACTCTGTGTTTGTTTCGACGACTCTTGTAGGCAAACACTGGTCTTGCCTCCAGACTTCGTCTCCGACAAGCAGCCCCTCGCTATTGGACGGCCCCCCGGCAGCTCAGGTTCAGTCAGAGAAGGACGAGGCGGACACCGTTAGCGCCATGGCCTCTTTGAGCGTCGATGTCCAGCAGTCGGGCTCTGCCGCCAACATCGCCGACGCCGGCAGGTCGGTGCAGTCGCGACGTTTTCGAAGCTGGATAACACTTTGTCAGCAGCGTAGAATGTGCACCGTACGTTCATATTATTCTTGAGCTGACACCCGAATAGCGACTGAATTCCTCGCTTGAAAATGCTTCCTAATTCCCAGGTGGTCAAAACGTTCACTCGGAGCTGTCAACGTTGCTCCCCGTTCTGACGTCTTCTTGAATCGACAGTCGCTTGCCGCGTGTCGCTATCGGGGACTGATGGTGTGTTCCCACGCAGGTCTACGGAGGAGCCGATGGAAGAGGAGCCCGTTTTGTAAGAGGGCCGCGCATGCCATGTGCCGCCGTAACCTCCTCCTGGCGGCGACTCTTCTTCTTCCGGATTGTGTATCGGCACACACACGTTCGCACCGAGTGGAAATGTTGTGGATGACCTCGAATGGCAGAGGAAGCGCTCACAAAGTCGGCTCTCCCCGCGGGAGGGGCGGACCACTTGTATGCGTCTCCACGGCAACCGGAGGAGGGGCATGTCAGCATGGACACGCCTCTCGTGTAACGTTGACTCTCCCTCCTCTCCTTTCAACCTGCGCACGCACGGCACCGCCCGCTCCCCTCCTTTTGTCACCTCTGTGAGTGACGGTTGGCCAGTGCGGCGGAGCAGGCAGCTGAACGGCAAGATGAACGGACGATGAGGAGGAACGAGGTGCCTTTCTTTGTCCGCTCACTCACTCACGCGGGCGCGCGCACGCATACGCGAGAGGACGACGTTCGGTCGAAAACCGCGACTGCCGCAGCACCTCAGCAAATGAAGCAGCCAATCGGGACCGAAGGAACACGGCGGTGCGCACGGAGCTGCTGTGTCACTGAGTCACTTCATTTTCTGGTCGTTTTCTCCTCATCTGATTGCCTTAATTTGCCATTTCTTTGTATTTGAGAAAGGAAGAGGGAGAGGTTGTGGCAGTTTGAGGAAACGCATTTCGAAATGAGGCGGCTGGCCAGCTTTCAAGAAGGCTTTATTTATTCGATGAGCTATGTCATGTGTGTCACTTGAAACCACCTCCTCTTTTTTCCCTCTTTATCTCCTTCGAGAACGGCGACCATGGGATTGTGGCATGTGACCACTCCGTCCCTCTTTTTTTAAAATTTTTATTTTATTTTTTTGTGGTAGTCGTAGTTTTTTTTTTAAATTGTACTGATGTCATTTGGTGTCCTGTCTCGTTGCCCACAGTTGCATCACACTGTCACTCTGTGTGTGTGTGTGTGTGTGTGTATGTGTATATATATATATATATATCACTTATTTTTTTTCCACTGAAAGCATTGCATGAATATTTTAAATTTACTTTTCTGAGAATAACAAATTGAATTTATTTTATTTTCATAAATATGTAAACAAAATTATTCTCTGTATTCTTTACGTCATATTATTTCCGCTTAGTCGAGTGGCTTTCAATATTATTTTAAATAACATTGAAAGCCACTCGATAAATAATTTCTTTATTCGGGCCAGCGAGAATTGTTTACGTTGAGACTGGATGTGCGCGTTCGGTGATTGGATGAGCGCCTCCTTGAGCTGTCGCTGCATTTTAACCCAAAATGGCCGAAGTAGAAGACGTTGATCTGGTTGCAGAACTACTTTCCACACAATTTTCAAGACGGGCCTCCTGCGCGAGCTAGCCTGTCCCAGCAAGGAAAAGGGTTTGTCCGTCATTTTCAGACGAGCAAAATTATGAACGGTACCCGTGGCTCACAGCCTCTGAGAAACGCTGCAAATTGTACTGCTGGGAATGCCTGTTGCTTGCAACTGACAGATTTGGTGTTTGGAGCCACACTGGATTTACCAATTTAAGTTGTTTTACCAAGACAGCAAGGAAACATCAGAGTACGGCTGGTGAACAGTGAACAGGCACTACATTGGTGAGTCAATGAATTTTATTTTACATTTCTTCTTGTCATTTTATTTTGTTAGTATTAAATTAATGGTAACGAAATAAAATGACAAAGATACAAAAATGCATCAAATAAATCTGCTCACCTGCAATTTATAATGGCGCATTGTAGTCACCTTCGTGCACTAAAGTTTGTTCAATCTCAGCTCCTCAACATTTTCAGTTCTTTGCTGTTGTATAGCCGATTCTCAAAATGCAAATGATCTGTTCACTTTATTTTCAAAGAATAGTTTATTTTGTTATTGTTTGGTTGGTGTCTTATATGAAACTGCGACAGTGCGCAATTTATTGGACAGGCTTGTTTTAAGATCACACAGCGTCATTTGGGTGGCATTTTATTTAGTATTTTTAAATCAGCTTTTTATTTTTGACAATATCTGTAAATTTAGTTTCCTGCTCTTAATTGTGAATGCGTACTTGATGGTTTTAAATGCTCCTGAAATTAAGTGCTGCTTGACGAGCCGAGATTGTTTTCATGTATGTGACGTTACTGAAGGCCGAAGGTTGAAATGCACGGCTCGCCACTGATGTGTGTGTGTGTGTGTGTGTGTGTGTGTGTGTGTGTGTGTGTGTGTGTGTGTGTGTGTGTGTGTGTGTGTGTGCGCGCGTGCGTTATGTGTGTGTGCGTGCGTGCGTGTATACACACATGCACATCTCACATTTCTATCTAGATATTTATAGATCGATCTCTCTCCCTCTCTACATATAAATTTGATCAGAGTGGTTCTATGAGTAGACTGTATGAAGAAATGTTGAACTGAAATGAAGTGCAACACCTGTTTCATGCTGATGATGCGATTGTTGTGAATGGAGGTGGACTGCAGGCTCTCTGGCTCCTCTGGTAGGACCAAAGCCTGGACTACATATATGGAGATGATTGACAAATGCAACTTTGGGAATGTCCAGAATTGCAAATCTACATAGACTACATAGATCTATATTTTTTTTCTCCTTCATTTTTGCTGTACATTTATGCATAGGAGCAAGACCATGCAAAGTCTTTCCCTTTAAACGCATTGCAAGCTGATTGCGATCCAAGATGCTCGGTCACGGCTGTCCCCACTTGTTCGTTGGAGGGCAGCATGCAGAAAATGGGAAAGAGGAAAGGGCCGCTTTAAAGTCCCTCAACTTTTTGAAACAGGAGCAAGTAGGTGAAGGAAGCAATTCTAGATGGTTTGGATTGTCTCGTTTATTTCGTGTGAAAGTTTTGGGGCTGGCCAACAGCCCTCTCTCTCTCTCACAGAAGAGATCCAGTTCTGCACTAAGCAGCAGCCCGATTTCCACATTTGGAACCCCCTCAAAAAAGAAAGAAGTGTAGCTAGGTGAGCATTTTTCAAACAGTGACTTGAGGATGGTTCATGTGATGTCAGCCATCGAGCACAAAGGGGAAGAAACTATTTTTATTCACGACAGCGTTTTGAAGATCCGTTGTGTTATCCTTTGAATCGTGGTTCATTTGTATCTCGAGAAAACTACGACAGTCCAGTCTCCCTTGTCACTCTGACCACCAATCTTGCGGCCCATGTCAAATGGCATTGGGGGGGCGGGGCTCACATCACGGGCCTCTGCCTTTTGCCGAGACCGAGCGTGTCCATGACTTTCTCTCACACAATCACAAACGACCGCGTGCGCTCATGACTCAATCGTCTCTCTTCTTCGAGCTGTTTGACGCTGTGGTGTACATGTACACGACGTTTGGCTAACAGCTGGTTCCTCGGGTTGGGACGACCTTTATAGTTGGACATTTGTGAGAAAGGTTTGGATCCGTGGGACCTCCTTGTTTTGTTTTGTTTTTTTCTTTTCCAGGAGCAGGGATCTCCCCTCTTTTTTTCTTCTCTCGCCTCGGCTCATGACCGGAAACATTCGAATCTCGTTTGGTGGGAACTGATCACAAGCACATTCCTTTTTGTCTTTCCTGTTGATTGAAAAAGGAAGAGAGAAGCAACATTTTCCAGTGTCGACTCACGTGTATATAAAGTGCATATAAGTGTACACATGTGCAATACAAGCTACCCGAGCAATCTATTACTGTGACTCTTATTGATGATGAGACTCGTTTTCTCTCCACGCCCTCGTCGAAACGATTTCCTTTTGGTTGAAAGGGATGCTGACTCTTGTGGTGATTGGCACTCACGTTCAGTTTGGGGCTCTGTGGACGTTGCCTTCAAGCCCATTTTCAATATCCTTCGCTGTCAAGTTGTGATGTTGACCCTGAATCTCGGTTTCTTTGTTGTTGTTGTTTTTTTTTTTTAAAGTGGGCCTGGTGTTAAACTTGTCCGGAAACTCAATAAAGCAATTCACTGACGGACGCTTGCGTTTCACCGAATGCGCCTGGCAAGCTTCTTCCGTCGTACAAGTGCACATTTCTCACGAGCCGTCAATGTTTTCGCATGAACGTGGATTTTGCTCAATTCTGGTCTGGCCAATTTTGCTCCCTCATTTCAGGCCACAGGGGGATGCAAATAAACTTTTGAGTTCAATTAGGTTGAAGGTTTCTTTCCCCCCCCCCCTTTTTTTCTGGCTGACAGTTTTGCCTTCATCTGAGCCGTCACTAGTTCCTGGTGACATGTCTTAAAAACAGCCGAGCGGGTCGGAAAACCTTGCAAATCAGGCTCCCCGACCCGCTCGAGGCTGCGCTCCAACCCCCCGCCACTGAAGCAATGTGTGCCAGGTCTGCGGCAACACGTCGGCCCCCTTCGTCCCTGTTGATGGGACGAGGGGGGCTGACGTGCTCCCGCGCCCCTAGTGGCAAGATGTTCTCTACCGCATAGTGATGACGTTGCATCCTCTCAACGGAGGAGAAAGTCCGGTTCAAGTGTCCGGCGAGTAGATCTTGATGAGGTGCTGCAGTTCAGTCGGGTAGCCGGTGAGCGGACAACGGCGGTTGGCTTTCACGTACAAGTAGATGCAGCGGTAGCAGAAGACGAAGCCCGAGGTCGACAACACCGCGGCGTTGACGCGAAGCCTCCTGCAGAGCGGGCAGCGTGACACGTCCGCCGCCGCATCGCGCCTGCCCTCCTCTCCTAGGTGGAGAGGGGGCGGGGGCGCGGGGAGGGACGTGAGGCTCTTCACGACGGCCCGGTTGTCGGAGGAGTACCACCACTCCAGGAACTGCAAGAAGAACACCCCCAGCGAGAGGGAGGTGGAAAGGGAGACGGCCACGCCCCTGGCAGCTTGTGACGTCAACCACCAGGCCCTCTGCAACACGCTGCAAACAAAACACATCGGGACGCCTGGATTGAAAAACTTTCTACGTTGTATTCTTTATCGTTGTTTTTAATTAACCCTTTGGCCAGCGGTCGGCGGCCATTTCTACCTGTTCCCGTGCGGGCTCCCCATTTGGCCGGCTTTCAGCTCCATCTCTCGGATATCTCGCCGGCTGAGTCGGGCCAGACGGACCCTCGCCAGCCACAGCAAAGGATTGTGGGCGCGCACCGCCCCGAAGACGAAGAGCAGCTGCTGGCAAAAGATCCAGGCCCGCCAGGCCGAGTTGACGTACGGGTAGGCCGCCACGGCGGCCCGATACAGCCTCTGAGTCCTGCTCTGCGCCAGCCGTATGGAGAAGTCCTCCTCTTCCCTCTGCCTTGCAAACACGGCCTCCAGCTTGGCCCGCAAGTACGGCACGAGGCACAGGAGAAGGAGCGAGCGCCGGCGGGCCCGGGGGCCGACGGGAAGGCCCCGCCCTGCCGAAACCCTTTTCAGACCGTAGAAGTTCTCGGAGAAGGAGGCGCTCCAGCGGGATAGGAAGTGCCTCTGCAGGAGGACGTCCAGCAGGAGGTAGAACTCGTCAAAGCCTCGCCACAGGAAACCAAAGCGCCGCGGGTTCGACTCTGCGAGAACCTGACAAGGTGAGAAAGGAGGCCAAATGCAAAAGTCAGCCCCATTTTACGTCGGATCGAAAGGGTCTCAAGGTGTTCGATACGAGTCCACTCGGGGAATGTCGACTTCAGCCCCGTTTGCCGAGTTTATCCTCGACCATCACGCAACAGGACACGATGAGCTCTCAAAGTCTCCCACAGCGCCCGTCTACGTTAGATGACGTTTCGAATCACGTGACTGCGGTCGGCTTCAGGAAGGTATTTGATGTGCATTTGCAAAGTTGGGTTTTACTGTCGTGCGCGTTCGGGTCCCGGGCCTTGGCGCTCGTTTCTCGAGAGACGGAAGCGGCTCACCTTGACGGCGTGCCTCAGCGCCGGCTTCACCGCCTCCATCAGAGACTCCTGAGCCAGAAGCTCAAAGATGGACGGCTGCTCCCGCACAGCGCCGGAGGTCAGATGAGCGCCCGCCTCCGCCATGACCGAGGCGGCACCTGTCAATCACCGCCAAGAGGAGGCAAACGAAAAGTCTCCAAAATTAAGATCGTCAAGTGAAACGTTTGACGCGTGCGTTGTGGGAAAATGTTCCGAAACGACGAGGTGGTAAATATTCGTTGTTTGAGTGAAATTGGAAGACCTTCCTTCCCCTCGACCTCGACCTCAGCCTGACGCGTTCGCTGCAAATGAACGGGACTCGGTGACGCGTTTGTCGGAGGTTCCTTAACACTCCGCGCTGTCAGTTTCAAGATCTCGACGCGTACGGTCCATTTCAGGAGGAAACGCAGAAGAGATTGCTCGTTTTCGTTCACCGTGCGCAGCCGCTGCCCGTCACTCGCTCGAAAAGACAATTACTTCCGCATTACGTCCATTTTGAAATCCAAACTTTATTGACAAGCTTTTACCGTTCATCGTCATTTGAATAGCGGTAAAGTACATAGTAATAGATCATACATTTTTTGTTTAAATGTTTGTAATATGTGTATGTATTAATAACATGTTCATTTTGTTTTCTGTTTATTGAGAAGTGTACTATGACTTGTTCGAATAAAGATTCATTTTAAAAAAAAGTAATGGCTCATAAAATAGTAACATATACTCGCGCGCACGCTCACACATTTATATTTCATGTAGACATACTGTATGCATCATATGCAGATTAAATTGACACCTAATAATATGCAATATGCCAAATCTAGTTTTGTAATTTTGAGTTAGATTATTCATCAGATCACAATATGGAAGAGGATAATTGTAGTGGAATAATAATATCACATTTATCATTTACCGTGTTGTGAAATAGCATTTGTCCTCTTGTCAAATTCTTACTTTTTTCCCCTCTCGGTTACCCAGTCCCCACTTTAAGAAAAAGATAAGATCTGAGATAACCCCCTTGAAAACGTGCCAACTATTTCTGACGTTTTCCCCGTGTCAATCCAATTTTACTTTGGGCTTTTTCCCCACTCGCATCTTCCCAGGCAAATTCCGCTGTAACAGTCTTTATATAATCCAAGAGTCAGAGAAACAGATGGATGGGGATTCGCCCCCCCCCCCCAGCAGTATGAAGAGAAAACGGGAGGGGCAGAGCGTGGATGAAAACATCTGATGAGATGCCAGTTTAGCGGATGAGAGGAAACATTTGGTGATTGGAAAAGGATTATGGGATTACTGACACAGCTCACTGGCTGCACCAAAGTCTGTCCCATCATCAGCATTGTCCCATCATCAGCATCGTCACCGTCGTCATTTGCTCGCTTCGACTCTCTTGTTGTTGGAATGTTTTCTGCAACCGGATGGAGGACTTCAGCAGCAACGGTGAGTTGACTTTTGGGGAAGGGAATACAATTACGAGAAACTGAATTGGATTCTGATGAAACCCTGCCACTTATGTTTGGACCTTAAAAAAAAAAAAAACGTGATAGGATCATGGAAAATGTCTTCACAACAGTTTTTCGAGGAAATTGTACCTTGCTGTTTGTTTACCACTGGAGTGGATTTGTACCAAAGATCCCTTCAAGCAAGCGATGGAGAAATGAAGCGTTGAGTCGGATTCCGTCACAGTGCCGGGGACCCATCAGAAAGGAATCAATTCAGCTCTTCCACTTTCAATGATGATGATGAAATTATACTCCGATGACCAAAGCTGTGCCAAAAACGTGTGTGGGTTTAAATGTCAATATGACTCTTTCTCATTGCGAGGTCATTTCTTGACCTCGCAATGATAAAAATGCAGATCCGTGTCCAATAACGTTGTCCTCGCTCAGGTGCGGCAGTGCTGACTTGACGGCGGCTCCTCCGCTCCACCCCCTTCGACTCATCCGCAAGTCGTCCTGCTCTCCGGTGAAGCATGCGACTCCTCTTCACCGGCCTGCTGTCGCTCGCTCTCGCCTTGGGCTCGCCTTCCTTCTTTTTGCCCTCGGCGGCCAGCACGCGCTCGTGTCCCCGCCGTTGCCTTTGTTACGAGCACAGCGACTTGGTGGACTGCCGCGAGCGCGGGCTCTGGCACGTTCCCGGGGGTCTCCCGCACGGCACCTGGCTCCTGGAGCTGGGAGGAAACAACCTGACCGAAATCCGAAGCGGAGACTTCGCCGGGCTGTGGTCCTTGCGGGTGCTGGTGCTGGCCAACAGCCAGATAAGGGCCCTTCAAGCGCAGGTACCCGTCCGTCGCCCAGAGGTTTGAGTCGGCGGCCCACGCGCTGACTTTTTCTTTTGGACGTCTGCGCAGGCCTTCTTTTCCCTGTCATACCTGGAGAAGCTGGATCTCAGTGGGAACCGGCTCACGCATCTCCCCGCTGACTTCTCGGTGAGCCTGTCTGCGCTCAGGGAGCTGCGACTGGAGCGCAACAACTTGCATCATCTGTCCACATTCAGGTGCCACTCACTCAAATCCCCCCGCCTCCTCTTTTCAGTACTCGATCCAAGTTGTAGACCATCATAAGATCTCCCATTTTGCGGGTTGGGTTCCGGCGTGAACGCTTGGCCGTCTCCGCCGTCAGTCCAGCCTTTTGGCAGCCGGGTTCGGCTCCGGCGCCAGCCCCCCCTCGGCCGGAGGAGCAGAACAAAACCCCCCAAAAAAAAAACGGAGCGGTGAATTCAAAAAAGGAAACGACGTATCAGGTGGTGGCACAAGACCGACGCTCGGCACAGTGTTCATCCATCAAGTCCCGGCCTATCCTTTCATTTCGTTTCTTTCGGCTCCCTGCGATGACACGAAAAGTCCCCGCTCGCGGTTTCTGTCTTTCTGTTCAATCGCCGCGTTTCGACCTCAAGTAGCATCAGCTCTGAGAGGCACTTGCGCTCGCGAGAACGAAAAGATTCATGTCGGCCGTCTGTCAGTCACATGACTGAAGGTTTCCATCATTGGAGCCTGAGTGAGTGAGTTGCATTTGTTTGCTTTGTTTCCTTCGACCGCATCAGCTTTGAGTATCTGGACAACGTGGAGAAATTGGACCTGAGTCACAACCGTCTTGCGTCGGTGGGCCCGGGCGTGTTCAGGGGCCTCTCCAGACTCAGGCAGCTCGACTTGCACGGCAACAGACTCTCCGCCGTGCTCCGGGGAAGCCTCGACATGCTGCCCGGACTGGAGGTGCAAACGCGAGGCCGCCCGCCGGCGCGTTCCGCAGGGAAGCGAAGTCTGACCCGTGTGTCCGCGTAGGTGCTCCGGCTGAGCCGCAACAACATTTCCGAGATCGACACGGAGGCTCTGGCTCCCCTCTACAGCCTGGCCCTCCTCGCGCTGGATGGCAACAACCTGCATCATCTCAAATTCAAAGCCTTCCTCAGTCTGCACACGACAGCGACGCACATCCGGCTCGCAGGTGGCGCCTTTCACCGCTCCTCTTTCTTTCCAACGCGTCAAATAGATTTGGGGAACGAATTGAAATTCACTCGAGGCATCGGGGTGGGTGGGACGCGAGTTACTTTGGGATTGGAGCCGTCGGCCGCGGCGACAAATTGGCGTCTTCCTGAGTTTGCCATCTCACCAGGGAACCCCTGGAGCTGCGACTGCGAGCTGCAGCGCGTCTTCAGCAAGATCCTTCACGTTCGCCATCTCCACATCGACGACTACCGCGACGTGACCTGTCAGCGGCCGCCGCAGCTGGCCGGGGCTTCTCTGGCCCGGGTGGACGGCCGGCTGTGCGTCGCCGAGACCGCCACCGTCCTCGTCATCACCGTCACCGTGCTGGTCACGGTGGCGGCGGCCGTCGTCATGGCGGAACGCAACAGGAAGAGGAACCGCGGCGAGAACTGGGACACCGAATCCCAAAACCACACCCACGGCCCCCCGTCCTGAGAGCGGGGTCACGCCCGAGCTGCGGCCCATCCCGGCTCACTTCGGCGAGAGGCGCGCTACTCCCTGGACTGCCCCGGCCACGCCCCCATCGACACCTCCAACTGTTTTTCCGACACCGTTTTCTCCCGTGGCAGTGCGGCCAGACGGATGGCAGAACGATAGAAAGGACTGCGTTGATGATTTTGAAATGGCGTATCGAGCGGCAGAGTCATGTTTACAGTTCTGCAAAGAAAAAAAAAAAAAAAGGTGCTGGTCACTTTGCAAACAAAGGTGCATTTCAGAGGTTGTGAAAAGATGGACTTTGATTGTTGATTGTGCTTCAAATTGGATCGGTTTGGCTCTGCACTCGGCAGCAGCCGAGAGAGAGATCAGCTTCCCGCTGTTTTCTCCTGTGTGTTCCCCTCCGTACAATTTATTGTGGCTTTGACGGTTGGAATTGAAACAAGCCGTGCAACCGAACAAAACTTGAGTTTGTGTTCATGACATCACGTTCCAAAATGTGTGCAGCCATGCGTGGACGTTGTGTCCCAAAAAGAGACTTCCGCGACCTCTCCATATCTGGCGTGGGAGTCCAAAGTGTTTTTAAAGCCGAGCAGACTGCAGCAACGGAGGATTAGAGACAGATGTAGTGGTCGTTACTGAAAGAGGGAGGCGGAGGGGGTGGGGAGCACTAAATGTACTCGGCCGTCACTGCGTGAGCTGATCTCTTGTGTGCGCTGCCTGGCGTGGAGGCCGCGTTGGCTATTTGGATGTGTCTCTGTGCTCATGTTGCTCTCTGACTCTGTGTGTGTGTGTGTGTGTGTTTGTCAATGTTTTGGAGTGTCCATGAGTCACTTTGCGTGATCGAGTGCGTGTGTGGCACCTGCTATTTGCGGGGAATCGAGACCAGGCCAGCCCACAAACAGCTCCAATCCGGAGGAAGAGTGACACCCCCTGAAAAGGAGGTGAGGGGGGAGGGGGGGCTGTTTGGCGGTTTTTGTTCAGGAGTTGGAAATGCAATGGGACGGCCGGAGAGAAAAGATAGAAGCCAGCGAAAAGAACAGCGCAATCGAAATGAAGAGCATGAACAGCAGTAATTTTACGGGCAAGTTGGATTTTGTCGATGCGGCGGTGAAGGAACTGGACAAGTTGCAAAAAGGGCAGGACGGGACGGGACGGGAAAGTGCGGTGCAAATTGTGGCCTGGAAAGACGGCGACTGGACAGCAGTCGTGCTGTGCAGCGACTTTGGCCCCGTGGTCGCGTTCAAAGGTGACGGCTTCGTTGGACTGGTTCCAAACCACGTTAGTGTTTGACGTTTGCAACACCTGGGGGGGGCCTTGAAGGCCAATCGGGAGTCATCGGTCAAAAATCAACCCGACTCCGGGACTCTTCGCAGAACCTCGATCTTATTCTGCATCGTGTCGCCTCCTCCCCTTTCGCCCAATCACGGATCGATGGAGACGACGAGGCCTCGCGCCGGGTTAATGATTACACGGGCGCTCTCGACCAGCGCTTCGCTTCGGCCTCCTCCTCTCGCCAGCCCTCAGACGGCGCGAGTGAACCGAGCTTGGGACAGCAATGTCAGAAAAGCGCGTGTGTGTGTCCGACTTTGAGGTGGAAGCCAGGAAGGTTCTTCCGAAAGCCGTCTATGACTACTACAGCTCTGGAGCCGAGGAGCAGGTCACGCTGGCCGACAACGTGGCCGCCTTCAAAAGGTACCTCGCGCACACCAACGATGCCTTTCGTGGCAACGTTTTCTTCCTTGTTTTGCCTCGCCTTCTTTCCTGCGCTTGGGTCCACCTGATTTCCACCTCGGCGACTCCACCTCCCCAAAAAAAACCATTTAATCGAGGTTTTGCATCGGATCGTGCGGGCCTACCGAACAATGTGTCTGCTGAGAATGCTACCGATGTGATGCCAAAGATAGAAATGGCATTTGATTCACGTCCGCTTCTCCACAAAACGGGCCACACTGGAGCGTGGCTTTTACAAAGATGGCAAATTTGCACCGAGGTCAATAAACATAGATGGCATTGAAGCATAGCGTCTCTCGAATGAGGTTTCACTCCTTGATGACTTTTCCACCGGTTGGACAAACACGCATCGCGCCGTTATCTCGTGAGCATGGTAACTTCAAGCAGACAACACTCGGCTTCCGGACTTTCGTCCACGCGCCTGGCAACAGCTTAATTAAAACACATCAAGAAGCGGTGGGTGCGTGGCTTATCAAATTTGGTTTCTGCTCCTTCTTATTAACCGAGTGATCCATCTGATGGCAGGTGGCGCCTGATCCCTCGGGTGTTGAGGGACGTGTCCTCGGTGGATCTGAGTGTGTCGGTGTTGGGCCGCAAGCTCAACATGCCGCTGTGCGTCGCGGCCACCGCCATGCAGAGGATGGCCCACCCGGATGGCGAGACGGCAACGGCGAGAGGTCGGTGCGGGCACCGTCAAAGTGCCGTACGTGGCGCGGGGTTCGCTACGCTGCGCTAGCCGATTCTCTCAAACGGTATCGCCGGATGCGGTTGGCTGCGCGAGTATTTGGACCGTGACGTGGCTTTTGTGTACCCCTCGCGGTATTTGAAATAAGATGTTGTCCAAAGCATACCACATCATTTGGTGTACGTGGTGTTTAAATGGTCACGATACACACACTTGACAGGTTTTTCTGGCATGATTGAGAATCTGCGAATAATTAACGCCACGCACCAAAGAGGCATACAGATCACGGCAACGCACTATTTTCATCGAAGTGAAGCTACTCAACTCATTTCCGGGTTGATCCTTGACAGGAAGATGCCACGGGAGTGTGTCCAATGTCTAATTCAGGGATGTCAAACTGCGGTCCTGGAGGGCCGCTGTCCTGCATGTTTTCCAAGTGTCCCTGTTGCAACACACATGAAAAAAGGACCATGTATAGTAAGGCGTTTTTGGGACAAAAAAACCCGACTATGTATAGTAAGGCGTATTTAGCCTATTTTTAGCCGAAAAAAACGACAATGTATAGTAAGGCGTTTTTTACCGAAAAAAAACGACCATGTATAGTAAGGCGTTTTTAGCCGAAAAAAAACGACCATGTATAGTAAGGCGTTTTTGGCCGAAAAAAATGACCATGTAAAGTAAGTCGATTTTAGTCGAAAAAAATGACCATGTAAAGCAAGGCGTTTTTTACCGAAAAAAAACGACCATGTATAGTAAGGCG